TAGAGTGGGGAGCAGAACAGGCCGACTGAGAAGTACACTGCTGAGCAGTGGGTGGGCTAGGAGAGGTCTGCCGCGCCCTATGGGTCACCTCCAGGACAGGCGGGGATCGAACTCATGCCGAAGCTTCTCAGTGCTGTGCTTTAACCCACTGCGCCACCAGGGAGGGCCTAGTTTTTGAAGTTTTTATAGGAAGCAGGCAGTGTGCCCATAGTTCACCCCTCCCTGACACAAGCATCGAGCCGCACATAAACACTCCCCAAAAGCAAAGTGGCGGGAAGGGCATCTGAGTTACATGTGGAAGGAAAGAGGCTCCCAGGCAAGTAAAGAGTTCTGAGGCCTCGGCCACTGCCCGCCCTGGGGTCAGTAACCATCTAGGCAGAGGCAGGAAAACAGAGTTAGGAGGCCGGGGCCCCAGAGCTCCAGCCACCTGCAGGCTCGGGCCAAGGAGCCCACCAATTTATGTGTGGCCACGCCCGGGGCAGCCCTAGTGCTCTGTGGCCCCAGGAAGAATGGCCAGGCCACAGGCACTTGCAGGGCTCACTCACGAGCACACCCTCCTTGGAGTGGTCAATGATCTTGTCAGGGATGGAAAAGTTCAATGACTGCAAGGGTGAGTTTAATTATATGTTGTCGCTGACTAGCGGTGGTTACGATGGTACAATTACACATGTAATTTATCAGCAAGATACTTGCATACATAATAAACCAAAAGCAAAACATTAAATTTCAGTGGATGCTAAAAATATCCCATTGGGCCACAACATGGAGCAGCCTCGCTTGCAACGGGGTAGAAGAGGAAAGCCAGGGGCCGCCTCCCTCCTCCAGTCAGTCGGCTGTTCCCACCCACCGTGGTGACCACATGGCATCTGGCCCAGGAATGCACTCCCCAAACCCCGACAAATCCCCAGCCCCCAGTGGTGTGTCAACAGTGCTCCTTCACAAAGGAAACGGATAGGGAAGCTGACTTAGGACAGTCACCACCCTGCTGACAGCCTCTTAACTTGCTCACTGAGGTCCCCAGGGCTGCTGAGGAGACCACAGGCCTGGCCATGTCTTGGGGTTCCGAGCTCCAGGATGAGTCTGGAGCGGGGAGCCGGGGGCGGGGGGAGGCCAATGATCAGAAAACAGTCTATATTTTCATTCATCTTGATGAAAAGGGAGAAAGGGGGAAAGATGAGTAGACAGAGAACATGCAGATCATCATAACAACACACTTATCAAATGTCCACTTGGAGCCAAACTTATTGGCAGCTCTTCCGGGAGTGGCCGGCTGGACTGCTACCACCATTCCCCACTTGCACACGAAGACTGAGGCCCAAGAGGCTGGGGTCAACAAGCCACGGAGCCAGCATACCAACCCAGAAAATCTCAGAGCCCCAGGATTTTCTGCTGTGTCCCCAGGCTCAGAGGTCATTTAGGTGAATGACCTCTTCTGTCTTATGTTCTTCCCGACATTGCTGGGGGCCCACTATACAACAGTTTAAAAGTCGAGGATCAGTGTCTTTTTATCCTTATCACTAGGATAAGTGCCCCAGTAGGTAGGTTCCCCCAGGCCTGGACTGGGCATGCCCACTGGACGCGGGCATCCTCAAGAGGGCCCACGGAGATGGGGCATGTGTGTCTACAGAGAACAGACAACAACATGGAACGCGCTGGAGTCTTGCCCAGCAGACAGACAACCAGCCCTCCAGCCGGGAAGTCTCCTGAGCCTCATGAACTCCTTGTCCACACCCCACTCGGAAGGGGGTCGCCCTCCCGGGCCCCTCCTCCCTGGCTTCAGTCCTGCTCACCTATGCGTGTACCCATGTGGATTTTTAAAGAAATGTTTACAAGGCATCCCTGTGGTTTCAGCTTACAAAGAGTACCTGGCACTGTCCTAAACATATTTTTTTCCTATTCTAAAAATAGATGGAAAAGAAGAAATAAATGTTTCTATAATTGGTCATTTTGATATATGTACATATATTTGGAAGGACAGGAGATGAAGAGAGAGTGAACAACGGACTTTCATTTTGCTTTAAGGCTTACACAGAGCCTCACCCGTCCACCCACCCATCACCCATGCAGCTGCCCACCCACACGCCCCTCACCAAGCCCCCACCATCCACTCTTCCAAGGACCAGCTGCGGACCCACTATGTATGTGTCGGCTGCACTCTGGGACTCGCAGGTTTGTATTTTAGTAGAGGGGAGAGATTCGAAACCAGGAAAAGAGTGGGCCAGCAAGAGTCTTCCTGCACCCAACATCTGGATCCTAAAATTTGAAATGGATTGAAAATCCTACCATGAAGGTAGGTTGAGAGTCACTTCCTCATGTCTTACCATCAGGATTCGTTGTAAAAGCAAACAAGAACGTCTTCTATGGAAATGCTAACTAACAGAACAAAAATGTATTCTAGTGTGGCAGAATCATGTGAGGGCAAATACTACAGGCAATATTTTTGTGACAAAAGCTTTATTTCTCATCTTCTCTACCCTTGATTTAAATATATACATGTATCTGGGTGCACACGTATCAGGATTCAAGTATTTCAATATAAATTTTGTATTCAAAATACTTTTCCTGATTTCAGCTGATTGCATATTTCCAACCAATGCTGCAGCGGTAATTTTTGTTCTGAATCAAAAACAAGGGTCTCTTGTTGAGTTCCCCCCCCCCTTTCTCTCTTCTCTGTCTTTCTCTCTCCATCCCTCCTTCCTCTTGCTCTCTTCCTTCGTTCCCTCCCTCCCCTCTGTGCCCAACTCCACTCCTTCCTCCCCCTCCTTCCTAAGAAGCCCAGATATTGGAGCTGCTTTCAGAGCTGAGTGCTATCAAGGGCAAATCCGTCTCTCCCGGGTGCTTTCCCCGCAGGTCTCTGGGGCGGTGGGCCAAGGTGCCAGCTAAAGCTACATAAAGGCGCCAGGGTAGAAGGACAAACCTTCCCACTTTGATTTGAGTGTGTAATTGTTTGAATACGTCTTGCCGGCACGACAATAATGTCATCTTCGGTTGACACAGATTTTCAACCCTCTGAAAGGTGGAATGTTATCAATCACGGGCATGATTATAATGGGATTTAAGTGGAAGACGCTGAGATTCAGGCCCTCGCTCGGGCCGGGCTCTGTGGCAGAGTCTGGAGGGGAGTGAAGGGCTGTGTCCAGCCAGGGAAGGGTACTGCAGGAAGCCACCACGCACGCACCTCCCCCCCCCCAACACCAGGCGTCCCAGGAAGCACCACAGGACTCTGGAATTCCCCACACCCAAAAACATCTGCTTATGTTCCCATTATATTGGACTGGTGGTTCTAAAATAGGGACGACTGTGCCCCCCAGGGGACATTTGGTAATTTTTGGAGACACTTTTGGTGGTCACAGTGAGGCGGGGGATGGTGGGTACCACTGGCATCCGGTGGGAAGAGCTTAGTCTATGCACACTGCTGCGCCCAGGACACGTGGCAGAGAGGGCCCAGCCCAGCACTGCTGCCCTGGCCCAGAAGCCCTGCCTTAGCCGCGTGGGGGGGGGGGGAAGAGGGGGTGTCGCAGCTCTGGAGAAGTGGGGTCCGGACAGGGCCTTGCAGGGAAGGGACACTCGCCACCCCTCCTGCTCAGCAGCAGTCCGACCCAAGCAGGTGAGAGAGGAGAAGATAAAATAGAGGAGGGAATAAAAGAGGCTTTGAGGGAAATTACTTACTCTTTTGCCTTTTGATCTAAAACACACTTCCTTATTACATGTCAGAAAAGGCTGGAAACCCAACAATTTTTTTTTTCTTCAAGGCAAAACAACTCAGGCCCAATAAAAACAAAATAATCTCCCTGGAAGATCCCTGGGACCGGCCAGCCTCCTGCCTGACAAATCACAACAGTGCCTGCAGATGTCAAATTCATCCACCGAGCCCAATCACATGCTCGGATTACTAAGGCAAGGAATTGTGAATTTCATTAAATATGTTAAGGGGGAAAAAATCAGCTTTGAAAAATAGTAATCCTGTCTTTCAACAAAAATATTATAGGAAGCTATGAATTTGGTAGATCCGAATAGGATGTTGGTACATGTTTTACTAAGGTAATATAATGGCACACTATTATTAGATCACATTAATCATCACTGTGCCAACGGCACTGACAGCCCCACTGAAAAGGATTGAAAGGCCTGGTAATGGATATAAATTACCCATTGTGTGATAAAAGGATTTTTACTAAGAAGGTAAGAATAAAACAGCAAATTTCTAATATAACTGTTGTGTAAAAACCAAAATAAAAGTAATCCGCGGTCAGTAATATCCACAAAATCAGAAGTAAGCACTTTTCCAACAAGAGAAAGTCACAATAAAAAAAAAAAAAAAAGAATGTTCCGTAAAATATAAAATTAATTTCTGAGTGCATAATTCCACTATCAATTCCCCTGGTTTCCACAGTGACCTCTGAGGCCCGTGGTCAGGAGAAGGTGGCTTTGGCTAATTAGATACGAGGGGGACTTTCCACTTAAGGTGAGTGCAGGTACAAATACAACCTCGGACCTTTCGTTCGTATTTTATTTTAAGTTTTTATCGGCAAGCATGGCCCATGAATGAGTGTGCAGACTGGAGCCTGACTGAGTGGCCGACATGGAGCTGCTCTGGGCACTGCGAGACCCAGAGCCGCCGGAGAGGAGAGGCAGACAGATGACCGTGTGGCTGCACAGGCCACGTGACTTTGGGCAGCAGCCCCACCTGCACACAGCTCCGCTCCCAGGCTGCTGGCTGGAGGCAGCAACCGCTGAGGATAAGCCACAGAAGCAGGGGATGCCCGCTGCAGGCTCCTCACCCTGTCCCGAGACCTCGAGACTGGGCATCACATACTCATCCCACCCAGAAGCCTCGGGCCACATGCTGGTCCCAGAGCCATCGAACCTGGAAGTGTCTCAGCACCCACCTCAGTCCACAGAGGCCGGGACCTGGGGAGCCCTTCAAGAGGGCATCCTGTCCCGCCGACAGACCCACAGACAGACGCCATTTCACAGAACCACAAAACAAGGCTCCTTACCGGGCGAGTGTTAGAGCCACGGATCTCCCTCCCGGCTGAAGTGTCTTCTTAAAGCCAAGGTGGGCAGGAACTGCAATAATAAGACCTGTTAGAAATTCTCAGTGTGCACAGGGGCTTCCACAAGACAGATACATTGCATTCATCCAAGGCAACAATTTGCTGGGTTAGTTGAGAATCTAAAAACATTTAATAGCCCCACTGCCCCAATTCATCAAGCAATTTAAAAAATGGTAACTATGTGACCTTTGCTGCAATAAACCAAATTTGCTCAGCTTCTTTTACTGGGAATTGCCACCTGCAAAAAAGAAGGGGGTGGAGCTTATAACCATCACTTGGATGGGACAGAAGAAGCAAGAACAGCAGTGAGTGTTCATTCCTCTCTCTCCCTCTGTGTCTCCCTGCACACCCCACTTTCTCTCTCTCCAATTCTAAACGTGGGTTCCTTTCTCTCCCTGATTTCCAGCGCTCCCACATTAGACCACAGTTCCACCCAAATCTCAGCAGCACTGGCATTCGGGCCAGGCTGCGTCCCAGGGCCAGGACCAGGACCGGGAAGCTGCTCCCTGCTCAGACACGTGGCACCGATGTCCTGCCTGCTGCTTTCGCCCGGGGAAAGCAGCCGCCACCTAGGTGTCTCACTTTCTTATCCTGTTCTAGAACATCTCATCTGGGTGGCGGCAGATAAGATAAGCCGCAGGAAGAGCAAGATGCCTGCGGACTTAGAATCTCGCAGCACTCCACCCAACTCAGAGACTGGTTTCTGGCAGCCAAAGCCCTGTTTGCTGACTGTCAGCTGAAGTGTTTCCTCGAAGTGCCACGGGGACATGGCGACGTGTAAACACATCCTACCTGCCTCCTTGAGGTGGAAAGTTAGAGCCTGCCTCTCCGCCACCTGCAATAAGGAAAGAAACGCGAGGCGGACGCTCTCCTCTCTCCCTCTCTCTTTCTCCTTCAATTTTCTTCTGTATCGTGTTCTTTTCTGTCTTATGCAGCACGATTAAAATCCAGACATGGGAAAGCCGGGCGTTCTGTGTGCTTCCCTGCGTCCTGCCCTGCCTCTGTAGGCCAGGCCCAGCGGCCGTGGGCCGGCAAGGATCTGCTCTGCACGGGAGACTCCCGTCTGGGGTGGGGGCTGCAGGGAGCGGGGCAGACTCAGACTTTACCAGGCTCGCGCCTTGGAAACTTTTAGGATTAATCCCCCGGGGCCGTTCACTTAGCAGCCCCGTCAACTCCAGTGACAGGGTGAACAGCTTGGGCGACTTCCAGGGGGAGTCCCAGCCGCTTGCATGATGGGCAGCTATCCGCCCGCTGCTCCCTGCCGGAACCGCCCGGGACAGTGCCCCCTCCGTGCCCTATGGAATGACTGGGGCTGGGGGCAGTAGCCAAAGGTGGCTGGCCCCTCCCAGCAAGCTCAGCCCATAAAGCTTCCCCCTGGAAGTGCACAGGAGCCAATTTAGGGATCGCGCTGGAGCCTCAAATGAGATCGGGGTAGCACCAGCCAGGCAGGAGATGCTCCTAGCCTCGGAGGTCACTCCAGGCACTGTGGGTGACCAAGGGGCCCCGGGCTCTGAATTCCGAGTGGGAAGGAAGGAGAACACCAGCACAGCCACCCCACCGTCCTCAAGGGAAAGGAGTAAAAAAAATTTTGGTGCAAGTAGCAACTTGCATTGAGACCATGCAGCGGGCTGGCCAGAACCACGTCACAAGGTTTCACCCTTCTCCACAGGGAACCCTGCCAAGGGGAGAGGGGAGCCCCCCAGGAGACAGGGCCCTCAGTTTTCTGGGAGGCCACAGGTCCAAGGCAGGATTGACAAAGGCAGCAGAATACACGCAGGACTCAGGAGCAGGGGGCAGGCCCCCACCAAAAAATTCACCCCCACGCCGAAGTTTCAACACCTCGTGCTGTTGAAATCCATCCACCTGCTGTAAACAAGGACCTTTCTCTCCCCTTTAAACACAGGTAAGGCTCACAAGCACCATCCTCAGCACCCCAGCGACCAGGCCCTGCGGCAGACTGGGGGTCAGGACTGCTGGGAGAACCCAGAAAATAGGAAAACGCCCCTTCCCCATGGCCAACATGGTGCCTGTGTGGCCATCACACACTCTGCAGCCTAACAGCAGGGACGTGGAAGGAGGAAGGTGCAGAGAGAAGAGAGAAAGCAAGGGGGTCCAGCCAGCCCCACCCCCACCGTCTCCCCAACCCCCCTGCCAGAGTTCTGCTCCATCACTGCTGCCCGTGGGCGCAGAAGCAGGGCCCAGAAAGACAGGTGCGGGAGCAGGGCCATCTGCCGAGGAGTCTGGGCAGCTGGGGCAGGTGGGAGCCGGAAAAACAAGTTTCCTTCCAGAAAGACTTAGGAAAGCAGGTTTAGGGGGAGAGTCAGCCCTTGGTCTGCAAAGCAGGATGGCAAACCCGGGACACATCTGGGGCTGCCCGGAGTGGTCGGCGCGACCTCCTCTGTGGGGGTGACCAGGCCCGGAGCCAGCGTGGAAAGTGCCTCACAGAGCAGTGTTCCCCTGCCCGCCCGAGCCTGAGCCTTGCCCCCGAGGGCACCAGCAGCGACTTTCCACAGCTCAGGGGCCCCTCCAGCCCCACTGGGGGGACCCTGCTGAAGGAATGGAGCTTCAGCTCTCCAAAAGGAGGGGACCTGGGCTAAGAAAGCTATCTGGGGAACTGGGAGAGAGCCTCGAGGCATCAGTTCCTCACTCAGCCTTCAACTGTGTGCCAGGCTCACTTCTAGGTTGCCACCCAGCGACATGTGCTTCTGCCTGTGTGAGACTTTTGTTTTACTGATCAGCTTCAACTAAGAGATGGATGATAAACTCTAACAAGGAAAATAAAGCTGGGGGGATGATCACTATCAACAGACTACCATGGATAAGGTAATCAGAGAAGATCCCTCTGAAAAGGTGGCGTCTGTAAAAGGGCCAGAATAAGGGGGTACGTCCTGAGGAAATCTGGGGCGAGCCTAACAAGCACAGCAAGCAGTGAGTGCAAAGGTCCTGGGGCAGGTAGGGGATGGTGCATTTAAGGGACAGCAAGAAGATCCATGTGGCCAGCATGGGAACAGGGAGTGTAGAAATGGGAGAGAATGCTCTGTTCAGGATCCCCATACTTGCCACGTGTGTGAGAAACTTGGGTTTTATTCTGAGCCATTGGTGGGTTATGAAGGGAATAGGGTGATCTGGGCTTATACTGTAGAAGAGTCGCTCTGGAGAGAGAACCAGAGGGAATAAGAGTGGAGGCAGGGAGGCTACCCCGGGGAAACAGGAGGCTGGCTTGACCTGAGCTGGGAGCTCTCGTGGCAGCCAGAAACAGGCAGATCCATGGTGCCTTTCCCACGGAGCCAGCAAACCAGTCGCAAAGGACACTGGGATAAGAAGCCATGTTTGCTCATCCTGCCAGATCTAGTGGCCCAGGGACCAGCTCCCAAACCAGCCCCAGCCCAAGACTCAGGTGCCCTGACCTCGGGGCCCTGGCGGGTCATTCCTAGAGACACAGCTGACTCCCCTGGGGGCCTGCCCCAACCCCTTCCTGCTTGGGGCCTCACACGGGGCCACCCCCCGCCCTCATCCCCCAGGGTCAGACACCAGACAGCTGCAGAGCACAGCCCTGGCCTGAGTCTGGGAGCCAGACCCAACTTGCCCACACCTCCGCTTGCTCCTTCTGCCTGCTGACAGGCCTGGTGCTTCCTCCTATGGGCCTTCCTGGTACACCCTCCTCTGAGGGAACCATGAGGAACAGCCGGACTCGCCCAAGGCAGCCTTGTCCAGGTCTGCTGGCCTCCCCACAGGCTTGCTCCTTGGGTCACCTCGGGGCCACTGCCCTCTCCCTGGGGTACCTCGCGGCCACTGACAAACAGTCACTCTCTGCTAACTTCTGCCAGAGCAGGTGCTAGGGAGCTGTTATTCAACAGCCAGAAAGAGTCTCAAAGCAGCAAGCAAACGCTCAGAACCCAGGCAGCTCTGTCCTCACCTACCAGCCTGCTCTGCAGGGCCCCGCGCTGATCTGGGCAGCTGGGCCGCCAAAGGCAGAAGGACCTGTGTGCCCATGGACATGTGTGTGCATGTGTGTGTGTGTGTGCGCACACGCTGAGGTGGGTGGCAGCTGCCAGCCTGTGCAGAGCCCAGCATCCCAGGAGGCAGCTGAAAGCAGAGCCCAGACATGCTTGCAAAGGAAGCCTCTTCTTTCATTTTAAAACAAAGGTAACTTTGATGGAGAAGCTATTTGATACCTGTTCCATCTAAACGCTTTCAGGATACACAGACATCAGACGCTCACAGGAACCCAAGACCCCGCAACCCCGGCACTGGCCTGGCAAAAGGGGAGTGGAGAGGCTTCTTCCCGTCAGCCCTCCGGTGCATGTAAGAATACATGCTTTAGCATGAAAAAAAAGCCAAGATGCTGAGAGCCAATCAAATTACTTCCCTGTCTCTTTAATAAACAAATCCATGTGCACATTAACAGTGTTGAAAATTCAATTTAAACTCTTTGTCTGTTGCTGCTTACTCTAAAGATGGTCTTTCTTAAACAACAGAACACCAAGGAGTCGTTAGTGCTCTCTCTTCATTACTTCAAAAAACCAATCATTAGACACCAGAGTATATACGTAATTAGAAAATCACTTCCTTTGCAATCCAAGCTAAGTAGTTTACATACTGTAATTACAGGGACAAAATCAATTTTTAATCATTTCCCTGATTGGGCTCATCAGCTCTGTGGGAACATTGTAACCTGCTTGTTGTGCAAAAGCAACATCTGGGCTAAAACAATTACCCTTTGTTTGCTACAATATTCCTTAAATCTTTTTGCTTGCATAAAAAAATGAAAACATGAAGACAAGATATTGGGATGTCTTTTTGTCCTTGATCAACATATATCCGAGAGTCCTCCTCGTGACGTGAGGAGATGCTCCCCAGAATTTACGGTTGAACAGTACACATCCAAGGAATGTATTTTTTCAGTGAGATAAAAGTATCTGATTGTTTTAAAGATCCATTCAGCTGCCTAATTGTTCCATAGCTAACACATGGTATTCAAACAACCCACACATTACAAAAGCTCATCTGGGT